CCCACAGCGGAGAAAAACTGACTTTAGAAAAGAAGAAGAAGCAGGCAAAGTTTATGCTGTGAAACGGTGTTTTATCTGTAACTCAGAGAAGCATTTGAAACGAGACTGTGAAAAGGCAAACAGCTGGAGGATTTATCTAGTGCAGGCAGAAAGAGATAAGAAAACATCAACAATAAGCTGGGTCCTTGACAGCGGAGCAATTAATAATCTGTCTAACGATAAGAGTGTGTTTTCTTTTCTAGGTGCATCGGAACAGAGCTTTGTGAAAATGGCAAATGGACAGACTTCTCCTGTGGCTGGAAAGGGAAAGGTTTATGTATCAGGTTTGAAAAGGGAATTTAATAATGCCTTATATGTCCCCAATCTGGAAACAAATATTCTCAGTATTTCAATGTTAACAAAAGAAGGATATACAGTAACATTTGAAATAACATGTGTATTATAAAGAGAGGAAATGATGTTTGTGACAAAGTGAGAAAAGAAAATGATTTGTATGTACTGACTGATAACAAAGAAGTTAATGTAGTAAGGAATGTATTGCATAGGAGGCGTGGGCATGCAAGCTTTAAAGTAATAAAGAAAATGGAAAGCTTTGCCAAGGGGGCAGAAGTGAAAGCATGTAAGAATTATCTAGATTGTAATGATTGTAGTTCGTGGGTTCATGTGCCAAAGGAAACAAGACGGAAAGGAAAACCAAAGGCAAAGAAAATGAAATTCTTGGGTTACGAAAGAGGTTCTAAGGCGTATAGGTTTCTTGATGATAATAAAAATGTTGTGATTTCTAGATCAGCAAGCTTCTGTGAACACAAAAACTGGAACAGAATACATGCAAATTCACAAGTGCACATTCCACATGTAAAAAGGCAAAGAGGACACAAAAGTCAGGTAAAGCCTACTGAAGAGGCAGAGACATGTGCCAGTAGCAGAGAAACACAAGTATACATTCCATTTTTAGAGAGAAAAAGGGAACACAGAAGTCAGGTAGAGCCTAAGCAAGAGGGTGAAGAATCTTCCAGTGAGGAATCAAAAGAAGAAGAAGAGGAAGATGGCACATGTATTGAGTCAGAAAATGAACACACAGTTAAAGAAGAGAGGCACACGCCTAGGAGGTCACAAAGAGCTAATAAAG